ACGCTTTATTTATTATTGTTCAAAATGGCTTATTATACAAATTAAATTATTATATTAAAAGCAGCGTGTAATTATCTGTCTCAAAAAATTGTACCATCATACTCCTCACTCCTCTAAACAAAGGAGCCATAATTCTCACTGGAGAAGATAAAAAGGGGACTACTTTGGCCACTCGATCAAATGGTTAACTTACTAACAGGAGTTGATGGTATTCTTTGTCATGCTATAGTAAGGACTCCGAGTGAAGAATTGGTCCGAGCTGTTCAAAAATTATATCCTTTAGAACTTTCCTCACTAGGAACCACACCAGAAACAATGAAAAATGAAATAAAAAGAGAAACAAGAAACTACTGCCAAAGAATTACATAAGGACTTTCCTGATTGACTAAAAGAAAAGTAGAGAATCCTGTGACAACCAGCAGTGGCTGAATAATTAAAGCACCTACAAAACTGTCACTTTGAACTGAGTATTTTTTTTTTTTTTTTTTTTTTAATTTTATTGTGAGATTTTAGAATTTTCTATGTGAATAATACATTACTGGTAGTACTGAAATAATTTGTATCCTGTGTACAATACTTAGTAATTATGCACGTTTCAATATATTGTATTAGTATATTAGTGTGAAGCATTTATACATTGCAATAATGTTACCTTGCACTTAGAATAGTTTTAAACCTTTTAAAGTTTAAATAACTATGTTTATATGTTAACTTTCTGTATTTTGGTTAACTTCGGTGGGTGTATGTAAAAAACTGTATCTTCTGAATAGTTGCAAAAGCAAGTTATTATTTTGTTACATTTTATTTTTCCCTTTGGATGATATGTACTGAATTTCCTTTTGACTGTATTTGTAACTGCATAATTTTTGTAGTTAGGTTCTGCAACAATAAGATTGCTGTTCTAGTCTAGTATTTTTTAAGAGTAAATTATGCTTTGTTTTTGAGATATAAAGGAAAAAAAGCACCTTTTTATAATATTTAATGATGCACATATTGAGTTCAACCTGCTCACAATGTAATAAATGTGTTTTATCAAAGAACTTAGGATTTTAGTGAATCATTATTGACCTTTAAGTGTTTTGAGAGACAACTTTTTATCATACATACAGAAAAGATTAAAAACATAAAACACTTGGTAATTTAACTAAAAATTTAACCTTTTTTAAGTTATCAATTTAGCTTAAAATATTTTTGATCTGAACTATTGAAATGCATCCAGAGAATGATAATTTTTAAAACCAAACTCAATAACAAAAATTCATTTTTCTGGGGGGGAGGACGACATGTCACTATAAAGGTCAGAAAATCTATGGCTAGTAAATAAAAATTACTCATGCAATGAATCAGGTATTTAAAACAAGTCCCACAAAAAAGTTAACTAATAATTTGTTTCTCAAGCATTTTTTTAAATAAAAGCATAATTATTGATCTACACTTCAAGTGATATATAAAGAAAATAAATAAATAAATTATTTTATTTGCACACAGGTACCAAAAACCTAGCACTAGTCCTGATTAAACTGTTATTTTTGCCATTTCTCTCACCCTTTAACACTCTGTCGGGCGCAATATGTTTTGGAATATGTTTGGGCACATTGAGCCTGCAAGGCACTTCTTGATTTACTAAATGTTTTTATACATAAAAAGTTTTTTCTTACAAAAATCAAATGATATTTATTATTATTAAACTTCTTTAAGTTATAAAAGTACTTTTTAACTTTTTTTTAACTTTTTTTCTTTAAGTTATAAAAGTACTGAGGGACAATGAAACAGTTTTATAGTCTTACAAGGAAACTATATTAAACAAATTTTGCAAAATAACCTTTATAAATTTGTTGCACAAGACTAATTATAGATTTAAATTTAATTAAAGCTACAAGGGGTGATCAAATAAAAAGATACGAAACCACACGGGTACAAATGTAGACTTCATTCAAAATATACACCATAGGACTGAGCACAACGATCCCACTGATGAAAAAGCCACAGGATTCCTTGTTCCCAGAATTCCTGTGGCCGTGACGAGACCCAGTCCTTCACAGCGTCCTTGAGTACGTCGTCCGAGTTGAAGCACATCCCTTCAAGTGTTTCTTCAGTGGACCAAACACATGGAAATCGCAAGGTGACATGTACGGACTGTAGGGCGGATGGTCCAATATCTCCCACTTGAACTTGGTCAGTTCCATGTGTGTGACTCTGGAGATGTGTGGACATGCGTTATCATGGAGAGAACCACACCCTCCGTGAACAGGCCCAGTCGTTTGTTCTTGACAGACCTGCATAGGCGTCGGAGTGTCTCACAGTACACATCGGAGTTAATGGTTTTTCTGTGCTCGAGGAATTCCACAAGTAGCGGACTCTGAACATTGAAAAAGACAGTGAGCAACGGCACGGCTGACGGCACGGCTTTGAACTTCTTAGGGGAGGTGACGACGCATGCTTCCACTGCATGCTGTCCCACTTTGTCTCTGGCTCGTAGTGATGGCACCAGCTCTCATGATCTGTGACGATCCGCTCCATGAAAGCGGGGTCTTCCTGATAACGAAAACAGATGTTACAGTGCTAGCCCCATACGCAGTTCCTTTTGCTGTTTGGTGAGCTGCTTCGGAACCCAAGCGGCACACACCTTCCGATATCACAACCGCTCGTGAACAATTGTCCACACGGTTCCATAGCTGACATCCACCTTCACCGCCAACACGCCGATCACTTCTCACTAGGTCGTCCACCTTGTAGATGAGATTGCTCTTGATGACATTGTTTGCCTGGCCTGGTCTGGTCTCGGGTCATCACCCACACTCTCACGGCCTGCACGAAAACGGGCACTCCATTTTCTGACAGACTGGTCAGAGACACATTTCTCCCAGTAAACTGTCACCATCCGGCAATGAATAGCTGCCGCTTTCTCACCTTCCGCTGTCAGAAATCGGATAACACTTCCCTGCTCCTCAGTCATTGAATTTTGCAATGCGAACGACATCCTGTCCTCATACGGACTGCCGCATCATTTGGACTCCTCTTTTGATAAGAGCCTCTGCTCTCTCCTGCGCATGCAGCGCCCGCGCATGCTCCAACCCAGTCAGAGACTCCAATCGCATCCCAAGATGTCTCGCTATGTTCTCCCATGGCGGAATATGCAAATATTTAACTGTTACGTATTTATGTCGTTTCATACCTTTTCATTTGATCACCAATTGTAGAACATAAGTATAATCTCTCATTCATCTGATTCACTAGAAGATATCAGTCCTTCTATGCCTTTCTTATAGCATGGAGGACACATGAAAACAGCATATGAGAGGCAGGTTGCTGTGTGATACTTTTTACACTCATATTAGGTTAATCTTCTCTTAAGAGTTTCCAAATAGTATATTTCACATTTGTGTCTTTTTGGAGGCATCAGTGGCTCATCATAATTTTGAGGTTGTTGTAAATATACTGGTATCCCCATAGACTTCAGATTTTGTTGAACAAGTTGTCTAAACGCAATTTCATTAGACAGCTGTTTTATGAACAACCTTCTTTTAAGAGTTATGTACCCATTATCTATACATGTGATCTGAGAACTGATTAGGCAATGTTTAACATTGAAAAAAAGCTTACCATGGGCCACCGCTTTACATTCCGAGACGTATTATATGAACCACACATTTAATCTACAATATCTACTCCTAACTTCGCTTCATTGTAGAAACTGATTGTTTCTGGTTTCTCTTTTTCCCAGTAGAAAGATCAATAGCTTGGTCATCAAGCAATAATGAAACAAGAAGGACATTTTTGGTTTTTCTTGCAATGTAAGACATCAAAACATTACCATCACTAATAAAGCCAAAATTACTCGAGTGTTGTGGTATAATTTTGTACCAAATAAAAGTCAGTATTTTCCACAATTTGTCTTTTTACTTCTCTCTTGTTCTGTCTTTGAATCTCTCATCACGTTCCTCTACACCGTCTTTTGAATCAATATAGCTTTTGACACCAAAATCTTCATCTTTCACATCCTCATAGTCTTCATCTGATGCCTCCAATACAAAGTGAATTTCTTCAAGGTCTTGAGGATTCTCGAATCAATTTTTTTTTTTTTTTTTTTTTTTAAACATTTTGAAGCCTGAATCAAACAAATGTTTATAATATTGTTATGAAAATATGTTTGTCAAACTTTGTAATAAGCGATATTTTAATTTATTAAAATATTTTACAATTCATGAAATTATCAGATGCTATGTGCTTGAAAAGTCAGAGCCTGAAAATATAACCAATTTTTGAGATAACCACAAAATATTTTATTATATAACAAATTGCAACGCAATTGGGTGCAATGAGCCTATTAGATCATTTCATCTGTCAGCTGGATATGAATATATTGACTGACTGACCTTACAACTGCCAATAGTATTAGAAGATTGGAAGCTAACTGGATGGAGAAGGAGTGACGACTTTTGAAGGAGGCAGGGCAAACAAAAGTGGCTCAGTGTGTGCCTAGCAGATCAAATGTGCTCGACGGAGTGTTAAAGAGGTGATTATCAGTCCTATTACACCCTGTATACACATATATACTAAAGTTCTTTAAAGCACTATTTACTTAAAAATCATATTTTGAACATTTGACAAACAGATAATGTATAAATCTTAGTATACAGTACACACAGGATTTGGCAACATTATAATGAGTAGTAAACACGGTATTTATGATAAGCAGTAAATGAGTAATTTGACAATTTTCAAAATTGCATCGAAGCCGTACTGTATACTAGGATCTTACCATCAAAGTGTTAAATAGTATTCATTCTTCTAATCTTAATTCAAATTATTCTATAGACTAAAAGAAAGTTTCCATTATTTTGAAATATTAAAAATTTTTAAACTCTTATATCCATTTAAATCTTGGCATAAAAGTTTCCTAATCTTCCCCCCCTCTGAATTTACAATATTAAAAAGGAGGTAATTGACAACCTATACATGCACATAATTATTACCGAACGTAAATAAGAAGTAAATACCTTATCATATTTATTGTCTGTAGAATTACCCCCACATTCATAAGTTTCAGTTTTAGTTTTGTCTTCTAAGGCTGTCATATTTATCATGGCCACTAATGCCACACTTAAGTTTACTCTCAATGCATATACATTGCAAAAGCCAAGAAATCCTAATATTGTCAACACATATCTTGCAGGAATACATTCTGAACATCCTAAAAAAAAGAGAGAGAGAGAGAAGAAATTAAATTTGTTTGATGATCAATTTCTTTATTTAAAACACATAACTTGCAATAAAAAATAAAGAAAAAAAAATTAGAAAACATATACAGTAAAATTCCATTATTCGGCATTCAATTAACGAGAAAGCTCAAATAACCAGAATATTTTCAGATGTTCTTCGATTCCCTCCCCCATCTGCCAAAGCCAAATACAAGCATAGACCAATTATAGACCCCAAACTTCACTTTTGCTCATAACCCCTTTTCCTTCTCTCGGATATGAAGAAAGGAGTCGATAGCGTTGTTTACATCGGGTTCCTGTGTAATTACTCTGAATATATATTCAGAAAATACTGATGTGTCTTCTGAAATCATAAAATGGTCCTTTTTAGGAACGAGTTACACCGAATCAGAAAATCAGCCGATACAATTGGAAACAAGTAAAAGGTCTTTTTCCAGGGCCAAATATTACTGACATGGATAATCAACTGTTGAGTCGTATGAATTGCAGAAAAAGATACGCTACATTTTTTAACTGAAAAAGACATGTAGCAAATGCTAATGCCACAAAATTACATGATTAAAGCGCAGGAAAGAATGTGAATTTAAAAGTTCTAGTTGTACGCATCAGTTTGCCAAATTATTCCATTTAAAAGCTCGCAAACAGCAGAAATGTATAATAGCTTCATTACCATTGCACCGATCTCATAAATGTTTACTATGTGACTCCTAATTTAATAAGTGAAACATCATTTTGCATTTTGAAAGTGATCATGTTGTAATAATAGATGAGGAACATTTAGAATGTTCTTCATTAGAGGCATTTCATAATTGGTAAGTAAGTATTAAGACTGAATCAAAGTTTATTGTTGAAAGTACACACCTCATTTTTTTTTTAACTTACTGTCAGCAATGACTCAGCAGAGGCAAGGCCAGAATGGTACTGAAGTTATCTACTTTTTGAAATGGTTATGAAACATCACAAAGAGGAGAAATGTGTTGCATTACTTCTGGCCATTGTTGGCAAATCAAAATATAGACTTTTTGACTTTCACAGTTTCAGTGCTTACAGCAGTACAGTCAAGGGCAGTGAAAGATATTCTTGAAAAGTTTGACAAACACTAAACTGCATCGTAATATCATTCTCGTGCCTTTTGTGTTTAATAGTATAATTAAAAAAGCTGAACAGAACTTTTAATTCATTTGTAAAGGAGATAAAACTACAGGTCAATCAATGCAAATATGAGTGCACTTTTGATTGCAGCATAAAAGGTCATATCATGCAAGGCTTAAGAGACTATGCACCTTGTCACATGGGGAATCAGAGCTCAATTTACAGAGAAGTACTGATATTTGTAAACAGCGAGTATTGAACGTAATAACATATATTGACTTAAATTTGATTCAACAAACTGATCAATCAATTGAACATTCTTTAAATAGTGTTCACGCTAATCTTTCAACAATATACCACATAATTTTAAAAACATAACGATCTATTTGAAGAAATACCCCATCTCCCTGACAAACATAACATCATCCTACAACAGGAATCTGTATCTGTTATAGCTGCTGTTCAAAATACCCACAGAACTAAAAACTAAAGTTCAAGAAGAACTGCTGCAAATGGAACAAGACAGAATCATAGAAAAGGTTACGAAGCCAATTGATTGGGTAGACCTATTGTTCTTAAAAAGGGCAGTACTTTTAAAATTTGTTGTGATCCTTATCATCTGAATAAGTTTATTAGGAGACGGTATCAGATTTTTTCTCAGGATCAGCTGCTGTTAAAACTTAAGGAATCTAAATTTTTTCCTGAAACAATGCAAAAAATGTTTTTATCATATTCAACCAGATGATGAAAGTGCTGCTTTGTGTACATTATTAAACTTTTTGGATGGTAATGTTTACTTGTCATGCCTTTTAGTCTCAGCTGTTACAACTACTTTTTTGACAAGCTAGAATGCAGTACCTGTGCTAGGCTTTTCACTGCTCGGTGCAATAACTTCAATTCCTAGAATCTGCTGCCCAGTTACTCCCTAAATTTTACAAACTTTGCCACCTGGTGCAGGCTCTGCTAGGATGCAAAAGACAAAATCCATTACCAGAAAAGGCAGCACCCTAAGTATTACGTAAAACAGCAACCAATTAACAAAATTAAAAATGCAAGAAACATCCATGATAAAGCATGTACCTTTTTTTTATTAGGATGTTCTTCCCATGTACACAATGGTCTATTTTTGTTTAAAAAAGCATAGAATTGTACAAATTTTGCTCATTTACGAAGTACATCTTCATGGAATGTTAGTTTTTGCATTCTCTAACTGTTGTCCAATGCACCATATTTCGGAAGAAATGCAACACTTTTCTTTGCATTAGCCAGCAAACTCCACAGTCTCATTAGAATTCCTTACAAACATGTACTCACTGTAACAGCAAAAATAAAAATAAAATAGTAACGGTGATTGATTTTGAAGGCAAAAAATGCTGCTTGTCTGCTCACTTGCACTCATACCTGGGCTGCCAAATACATTTCGTGGATATTATGGGTTGTCTATTTTGGCAATATAGCACAGTGTCTGGCGAATTCTTTTTAAGGCTGGGTAGATAATCAGACATTTCCTAGTACCAATAAGCACCAATTTATTTTTTGTTATTAGTTTATCAATGTATCAATGAATAAAATGTTAGAAAAAAAACTCTTTTTCCTTTGTTTTTACATATCAAAAACTACCGCCAAATATATTAGATGCGACATCTCAGCTTTGTTCTTCATTCCCCCAAGCTTGTAGTTTTCTTTCTAGTGCATTATACGATGCTCCCACAGATCTGCATATGTTATACAAGTGTTTCAATATTTGTATTTTCTTTTAGTAAAGCATACTATCCCATCATAACATACTAAGATGCTGCATGTGATTTATTCGGATTTTTATCCTCTATCAATATATTATTTATCGACAATATGTTCTTGTAATGCATATAGTGATACCTTTCTATACGTAAGATAGTTCATAGTTAATTATATTGTAAAATAACTAAGATATTCAAAAATTTAAAAAAAAACTGATTATATGGTTAAATGCAATGTAAACTGTCCAAGAAATTTAGAAATCATTTACTATTTTTCTGTACTTTTTCTGTCATTTTAATACAACTTATGATCTCTACATACTCTGTTATTTATTTTATGTAATTTACTATAATTTACAATTTTTATTGCTATATTTTAAATAAAACATTTTATATAGCTTGTGGAGAACTCTTTATTGTTATATTTGTCCACTGGTCGAAGAGAGTTACCAGCTTTCTCCCTCTTCTCCACTAAGGGTAAAATTCGGACTGGTTACTCTGTTCCTGGCTGCCGTCGGTGAAGCATGCGCTCACCTCTCTTCCACTTCATGATGTCTTCGTAGCTATGATATGACTTTCATGATTTTTTACCTACGTGAACTTGCTACCTATAAAAACGCATTTTATTTTGCTTTTACTGAACTGTACATGAGGTGAAGACTTCTTGTATGAGTGATAATGAAAACATAACAAACATAAATGTTTACATATTTTTTTACAGCAACTTGATGAAAAATGATACAAAATGCCAAGGTACTTTCAATATATATATATACAATTATTAGTAGGCTTTCCTTGCAAAAAGGGTGAGAACATGGTCACCATTTATAGCTTTCGTCTATGGATGCCATTTTTGGGTTGCTGCAAATAAAACGATGATAGCTTGGCTCGAGGATTTTTAACATTTTTATTTAACACTAGAAAAAAGATATATATTTCAATAAACATTCACTGATACACAGTCACATTGATTACAGTTCACACGATAAGCATTTTTATAGGTAGCAAGTCAACATGGGTAAAAAATCATGAAAGTCATATCGCAGCTATGAAGACATCACGAAGAGGAAGAGAGGTGAGTGCGTGCTTCATCGACGGCAGCCAGGAACAGAGTAACCAGTCCGAATTTTCTCTTAGTGGAGAAGAGGGAGAAAGCTGGTAGCGCCCTCTCCTGGGCCAGTGGACAAATAATAATAAAGAGTTCTCCACAAGCTGGTATAAATAGATTGATTTATGATCTTAGATAAAATGTTTTTTGTATAAAGTGGTGTATAGTTTTCATTTTTGTATATAGAGGAGTATATGTGGAAAATATTGTAATATGCGGAAAAACCTCTCATGGATACCACACAGGCAATCTTTGCAAGTAACCAGTATTTATGAGAATCTTTTTTTAAATGTGTACTACGATCTAAACCATGTACTTATTTTTAGGGTGCATTTCTGGCGGATACTTTGACCCAGGACGTTTTACTTATTTACATATTTTCTTAGAACTTTTGTATAGTCACTTACAGATCTGCTTCTAGGAGATACGTTCAGAAAAAATACTTTTTTGATGGACTAGGTACACTGGTGTAGCTCTACCTGCATTAAATCCCTTGAAAGTTTCAGTTTTCATGTCTGAAGTTTAACTATACATACAAGTTTACTAAGAGATCCAAATGGATGGAACACAAGGTACTTTTAATATATATATATACAGTTATTAGTAGGCTTTCCTTGCAAAAAGGTGAGAACATGGTCACCATTTATAGCTTTCGTCTATGGATGCCATTTTTGGGTTGCTGCAAATAAAACGATGATAGCTTGGCTCGAGGATTTTTAACATTTTTATTTAACACTAGAAAAAGATATATATTTCAATAAACATTCACTGATACACAGTCACATTGATTACAGTTCACACGATAAGCATTTTTATAGGTAGCAAGTCAACATGGGTAAAAAATCATGAAAGTCATATCGCAGCTATGAAGACATCACGAAGAGGAAGAGAGGTGAGTGCGTGCTTCATCGATGGCAGCCAGGAACAGAGTAACCAGTCCGAATTTTCTCCTAGTGGAGAAGAGGGAGAAAGCTGGTAGCGCCCTCTCTTGGGCCAGTGGACAAATAATAATAAAGAGTTCTCCACAAGCTGG